GAGATATTTAAAGGGAAAAGTGGAATAACTGATACCCACTGGGTATGTAGGCTGGAGGGAGGAGCCAGAAAGATGCAGGTTTGTGGTTCCACTTCTGATGCGGTGACTCGAGAGGATGACAGGAGAAATGCACACCTGAGAAGATGACGAGATCAGTTTGGGTTGTGTTAAGCCTGAGAGGACGGTGCATACTACAGGAGAGATGGATGGAGGCGACGGACACACAGATCCACCAGGAAGTGTGGGCTGGAAGGGCTGCTGCACAGGTTTTCTGAGTGTGATGCCCACCTTGAACTGGGCAATGTATGACCAGGCACGAAGCCCTGTGTGATGGCCGCAGCTAGAGGTACAGGTGTGGAGGTGCCCTTTAGGGAGGGCAGCTAGAGTAAGGGAGAGGACCGAGGAGAGCACCCTAGAGGATGAACATGGCAAGGAAGCAGAGGATGCGAAGCTTTGTAGGAGCGACTAGGGAGACACAGTCAGAGGGGTACAAAGGAGAAAAGCCAGCACGACCCAACATGTGACATTTCTGAAAACCAACACTTCCTTTCTTCCTTTTTACCCCTTTCCATTCATTCTTCCACCCTCTGTCTACCTCTCTCTCCTTCTTTCTGGTGTTTTTGAGATAGGATGTCGCTCTGTGGTTCAGGCTGGTCTTGAACTCAGTACGTATCTCAGGCTGGCCTCAAACTTGCACAACTCTCCTGCTGGGATTACAGGTGTGTGCCACGACGCCCAGCTCTTGAAGACCAACGTGTGAAATCTGTGAATAATATTTCTCTACACTGAGTGATCAAATAATTTTTCTCAAAAGCTTTCTCATTAGCCATATTTTAAAGTAAAACTAGGATTGTGTGGCTGAGGCTGATTTTACAACTTAAAATTTTGCTTCAATATTTATACTAGGTAAAATTTTTTTTTCTCGCGATGCTATAAATGTACTTTCTTTGCCTGATTTGTTGTCACACGTTAGTCCCTGATCTAGTTGTTCTTTGCATTTCTTGCTCTCTGCATCATCCTGGTATCTAATTTATACCAACATTTGTCAAGATAAGAATTTGCAACCATTTTTTGCCCTACTCCAAAATGTGAGATTTCATTCTTTTCTTGAATACACACATACATACACACATTTTTTATGAACTGTAGGTTAGGGACCTTGTGACTTAATTTTGTTACTCCTTTGGTGCATCAAATATAGCACTACTATAATTAATTCACAGAATAATCACACATCCAAAGGCCATCTGAAAGGCTGAAGGGAAAAACAGAAGTTCCGGAATATCTTTTTTCAATTCCAATTGTAACTGTATTGGGCTGAATGGCAGTTTGGACATCTGAATTCAGTTTTCAAAACTAGAAGTCACCTTGCTACATATGAAATTATTTCTCTTCATCCCAATAGTGAGATTTGAAAGTTACTTTAAACTAAGAGAGGTAAGCACAGCATGGGATAGATTATAGCTCTGTAGCATTCTGTTTTGGAGTTGAACCTCTTTTCTTGAAATATCAAGATATCACTTAGCATTGTAAGAAAAATGGTCCCAGGTGAGATAAATTTGAAAAGTGCTGGGTTAAGACTGTGTCTTTATTGATATATTTCTTTGTAGGATAGTTTTTTTTTTTTGTTTTTGTTTTTTGAGACAAAGTCTCTGGCCTTGAACTCACTATATATGCCCAGCCTGGCCTCAAACTCAAGGTGATCCTCCTGCCTCTGTTTCCCAAGTGCTGGGATTATAGGCATGTACCATACCTCCTGGCTCTAATATGATAGTCTTTGGGGAGTGGTTTAGTATAAATAGCACTTTTCAAATTTACTTTGCAGTGAATGGTTTATATAGTAAATATGCTTTGGAAAATACTGCTTTAGGTTTTTTTTTTTTTTTTTTGTGGTATTGAGACTTGAACTCAAGACCTTGCACTTGCCCGGCAGGCACTGCACCACTGAGCCTCTCTGGCCTCTTGCTCCAGTTTTATAGCTGAGGACCCTGAGCCCCAACAGGTTTGGTGACTTGCCCAACATCACACAGACTGTGGCAAAGTTGAGATGGGAGATTAGTTTTTCTGACCCCACTGCTGATCTGCTAGTTGCTTTTTATTTTGAGCCTTCATGGAGAGCAGGGCACACCACTGGTACCACTGGTCTACAGAAATTCTGACTTCCAAGACTTAAGAGTTCCCTCCGTTGGTGGCAATGACAAGATGATCTTTCTCTGAGTCTATCGGCTGCCATGAGGACTTGGAGGGTAGGGAGGGAGGACAGGAGGAGGAGCTCCTGGGATGCTTTAAAGAAAAATGGATTTATGCCAAGGATAATTCCTGAACAGATGTGAAACCAAACACTTCATCTCATGATACTGCCTGCGCTTTTTCTGAAAGGGAAACGAAGCACCAGGATTAACCTGCTCTTCATCAGATCTGCTTTGTTTCTTTCAAACTTCCATGACCAGGGCAGATTCCATTTCCTGCTAGACCCTTTCTACAGCAACTGAGGGGCCACCTGGGGACAGGAGAGAGGCTTTCCTTCTCTTTGGGCAGAGGCCAGTCCTGGTGGCCCAATGCTTAGCACCTCCTGTACCTCTGGGCACAGCTGGACTCCCTGTCCACGTGCCCTTAGGAGACAGTCTAGTGAAGATGTAACCAGAATACTGATAAACTCATCAACCCCGGCAGGGGGAGAATTAGAATTAGTTTAATTCTAGTGATCTATGAAAAAGTCCACACAGATTGAGAAGTGACTCATAATAGTCTGGGTGTCCTTTTTTCTTTTTTTCCATTAGAGCCCAGGTGTGTGAAAGAGATGGATGAATTTTTAAATAAAACTCTAACATCTTGACCCAGTAATGACAGAGTAAAGCAGGAACACACACACACACACACACACACACACACACACACACACACACAGAGTGTATTTTCCCATTCATCCCAAAGCTAGTTGTACTATGATTTGTAACTTGTGTCAAAATGCACTGTCCTGTAAGAGCCCCCTCCCCCCCAACTGGAAGTTTCTTGGTGCATTTGGTTAGCAATGAATCTCTGTACTCCTCAGGGCACGGGCAGTTGGGCCAGGCTGTCAGGGGTTGGCAGCACCCCCTCCATTGCCACAGAGCAAGCAGGACTGCACAGGGTCAGTCTGGAGATGGCATCTGGTGCCCCTTGGGAAGAAGGAACGCAAGAGTGCCTGCCAGGCAGGGGCTGGGTCACTCGAGGGGAGGGATCTAGACCCCTATGAGTCCCGTTTCAAAGTTCAAGCCACTTGTTCAGTCACATCACACTTGGGCAACAGGCCAGTGTCGAGGGAGGGGTGCGGAGGGGCAGCAGAATCAAAGGGATTAAGGAGAGGAGAGAAGCAATTGCTGGCACGGCCAGCCCATTCTCAGCTGCTCCTGAGTGGATTTGGAGCATGAGGTGAAGCTTAAGGCTTTGAAACTATAGTTAGGGTCCTCCTGGCTCTGTGCTGACTGCAGCAACAGAAATACCCTGCAGCTTGACACCTTCCCGAATGTGAGGAACCAGGTGAGGCCTGGCCCAGGGACAGCTGTGGTCCCCAGTATACTGCTGCAGGGGAGGGACCATGCCCTGGGGCCCTGAGGCCTTTGTGCCTGAGTCCCTGGGGGCGCAAGAGCAAGAAGGAACCCAAATATCTGCTGAATCATGAAGAGCATACACAAAAGGAGCATTAAAAAAATGTAGCTATCTAAGAAGTACTTGCTTGTATGGAAGGCTTTAAAATTTGTTTTTATTTTATGAAAAAACCCCACAAAATCTCATGATCACATAATAAGAGAAAAACAATAGTTGTTATACTGTGTATCACTATCTTCCAAGTAGTAACTCAGAGTACAAGATATAAAACAAAAACATTTTTACAAAAAGACCCCAGTAGCACAAATCTTTGTTTTCAATGAATTAAGATGTATTAGTAGTATAAATAAAGCCAATTAACATGCTGAAATATTTTTAAAACCATGGAATTTGTAATTTGGGGGAGTATTTGAACTTCTATTTCCTGTTTATTTCTCTTCTATTTTGTTTCTTGTGTTTCTCACAGAAGAGAAACCCATGATATTTCAGCTCGTGTGTTTCACTTATTTCACTTAACACTGAATTTCTGAGGTGTGTCTGTTTACCCAAGCTTACCTTTCTTTATGGTAGTGTAGTACTCCATTGTCTATCAAGCCCATATTTTTGTATCTACTCATCTGTCTGTGCATGTACGTGCTGTTTCTTAAGATCTAGCTACTATCAACTGTGTTGCTATAAACATGGGCATACATATATTCCTGTAATATAATAATTTTAATCCTTTTCAGAAGATACCTAGAAGGGGGATTGCTGGGTCAAATAGAATTTCTATTCTTAGTGTTTTTCACACACTGGTTATACTAGTTTACATTTCCACCAGTGTAGTAGTGCTCCTCTTCTCCCACATCCTCACCTCACCTACATTTGTTATTATTAGATTTTTGGATGACAACCATTCTCTCTGAGATAATGTGGTATCACAGTGTAATTTGGGGGGGTGTGGTTTTGAGATAGGGTCCCTATATAGTTTTGACTGGACTTGAACTCACAGCAATCCTCCTGCCTCAACCTCTGAGTGCTGGAGTTATAGGCATGAACTACAACATCCAGCTCTCAGTGTAATTTTAATTTTAATTTCTCTGATGGCCAGAGGTGAAGACCATTTTTCCATGTATTTATTGGCTGTTTGTATTTCTGAGAAGTATCTATTCATTTCAGCTGTTTGTTTTTAATTGGGTCTTTTATATTGGAGGGATCTAATATATATATATATATATATATATATATATATATATATATATATGTATTTATATTTGAGTTCTTTATATATTCCTGATGCTAGTTCTCTGCTTCTGTTTCTCAGAGACAGCAGTTTGTAAATCTGTGAGAAAGTAGGCTGAAGACTGAAATTCCAACAATCTTCTACTTCGAAGTGCTAAGCTCTGGAATCTTTTTTCTCTATACTTGTCCTCTTTGTATCCTGCTAAATGTGCAACTGAAACCACAGATTTAAAAATTATTAAATAGTGCTGATTTCAGTCTACTCTATTAGTTTAAGCGAATGCAACTTATCTTTGGCATTATATTCAGAAAAATACTTAAGCCTCAATGGGAACACTGAGCTAGACAAACACTGTTACAGTTTGTGTCTGGATATCCCTCCCAAGCTGCATGCAATCATGTGGGCAGGCTTTAGAATCTGTGTGGTCCAAAGCTGGGCTTATGGGTATGACTGCTACATCCACTCTAGGGTGGGTAGCCTACATATAATATAAGGGAAAGAAAGTCTTCTCTCCTTGGGCTCCTCCCTTTTTGCTGCCTTCTGCTACCTTGAATTGTTGCCCTCTGTCACGTCACCCTGCCTTAGAGCCAGCTGATTATGGACTGAAACCTCCATAAACTGTGAGCTAAATAAACCTTTCTTTCCTTCATTTTGGGCATTGGGTATCTTGTCTTAGCAACAAAAAAGAACTAAAACAATCACCCTAAGACACTTCCGACATAAGTAATGCATTACTTGAGAGGATTCTAAAACCTGCTGTTAGAACCTATGCATACATGGGCAACATTGATAACCAGTCACTGTTCACATCCTTTACTCTTCAGTCATCTTTTGCTGTCAGTCAGCTTTGACTAGGCCAGAGTCAGCAGGAAAGTGCACGGTGCACCAGATTCATCATCTCTGCTACTGTTTTTCTTCTTTAGTGAAAGGTTATACTGAGCCAGGCTTTACTCATGACAGGCCAGCAACATGAACACTTTTTACTGTGTTGTTCTTCAGGTTTCTGAGTCAGCATCTTCTCTCTGGCTTCACTGTGCACAGAAGGATTCCATGGAGAAAAGCTAATTGCATAGGAGGTCTTCTATTTTAGGTTGTTCAAACAAATGAGAAGTGCACACTTCAGGGTCAATCACTTTGTTTTTAAAAAGGTGAACATCTTTTTCATGCAAGGCTGCAACTTCTGGATTCAAGGGGCTTCCTGTCTCAATCTTATAGAAAACTCTCCCTGCATACATCAATACCTGCCAAATAAGATTATGGTTCCACCTCCATTGCGCAAATGCTCCCTTCACACACAGTTCATCTGAGGCGGGATCAACTAGTGGGTAAAAGACGGGAATAGCAAACACCAACCATGGACAGTCACCATGTGGGATGTGAACTATAAACTTGAACATGCCATCTTGACAAAGCCCGTGCCGTATGAGTATTGCTCCAAACCACATTAACGCAGAGTGATACGATGGCAGAGTGATTCGCAGACTCCTGATAACTTCTGCTTCACAATCAAGGTAAATTCTATGAGCAGAGAATATTCCAGGTAGGCGGGCCCATAAGAAGCACCTGTGCCATTTGTTGACTGTGCTGCTGGGGCAGGAGATGTAGTTATGGGTAAAGCATTTTTTGGGAACAGAAGGCAGCTGTTTTTTTGGTGCAGTTCATGGAAGACTGTTTTTCACAACTCTGGCTAATGTCTTCTCTTCACCATCAGAATCTCTGTGTACAGAGGTTGCAGACAGGCTCCAGAAACGGTTCATGTATCCTGCAAACAAAGAAATTCAGTGGTCTGTGTCATCTGACTCTTCTGTTCTCAGCATTCACTTTCCCCGGGTGTCTTCAAGGTAGCCCTCTCAGCTGCCAAGCGCCACTACGGTCTGACAGCATCTTTAGGGGCAGCGCCAGTCCTCCTCTCCTCTCTGCCCTCATGTGTTTTTTGGTGTCATACCTAAGAAACTGCTGCCAGGTCCAAAGACATGAAGATTTACTCCTGTTTATTTTTCTAGAAATCTTATACTTCCCCCCATTTCATTTAGGTCTTTTAGCAACTTTGGGTTAATTTTTGTGTGTGGTGTAAGACAGGGGCACTCCACAGACGTATGAGTTTATTTATAAACACTTTCTTCTACTCTACTGACTTATCCCAGGCCACTCTATCTTCGTAGATTCTGTATTCACAATCAGCTTTACTTCCTGTTTAAAATTCTGATTCAGTCCTGTTGACTAAACTTCTGTTTTGGATTCTCCATGCTTCTATCAGGCCCACTGCTATTGCTTTTGGAGAATCTCAGTAAAGATCTGAGCACAAAGAAGCTTTTCTTTAAATGAAATAGGGAGAAATAGTAACCTCTTTCAATTTCTGAAACAGTTTTACTTAGAGCAAAATCTTAAGAAATGCCATCTTAAGATGGCATTTCGTATTGTAATAAAGTTAAGCCTGTAACAACATTAATTTGCATAATTTAAGAGTACACACAATCACTGTTCTATTGCAGGCTAATCAAGAGCAAGTAGTAACTTAAGTAGATGTGGTATATCATAATTTACATTGCATCTAGAGCAAAGAAAGAAAAGAAAAGAAAAAAAAAAGACAGGCTCACGTTCTAGTTCAATTGCCAGTATCTGAAAAAACATAAAAGAATTTATCATCTTACTCCAGAAACAATTCACCCAAAAGGTGTGATAAAAGACATTAAAACATAATGAAGTGTTAAATTTTATGATGTAAGTTGTAAGTATCTAGGGATTTAAAAGATGGTAAGATATTGTTATACTGAAGCAAGAGGATTGCTGTGAGTTGAAGGGCGGCCTGAACTACACAATAAGACAAACAAAAACACAAAAGGCAAAATACAGTTTATATAATTATACAAGTAATGATTATTGCAGGAGATAAAATGTAACTGAATCCTTAGAATAGGAAAGATTTATGTAATTAAAGCTTTGGCAGGTATTATAAGTACTAGCAATTAAGACAGAAATATGAAAATTCACTCATTCATCTATTCAGCCAGCATTTCTTAAGCCTCTACTAAGGGCTGGGCACTGTATTGGGATTTTGGAGTCAAACTGGACCCAATCTTTGCTTTCCAGGAATTGCAGTCTTTTCAAAGGAAAAGTCAAGTGACTCATAAAAATCCCAGAGCATTAGGAATGCCACAATAATCACAGAGGTAATCAGAGTTCTATCTGCGCAGAGTCAAAAGGCATCTAAATCAGATCAGGGGTGGGAATAAGGTAAGACTGGACAGGAGGAAAGGAGCTGAGGAAAAACAGGAATTAGCAATATTTGGAAGAGAGGGATAAAAGGTGGGGGGACTGCATGCATGAGGAACTCCTTGTAAATGCAGGAACAGAAAACAAACAGGCCATGTGATGGGGTGAGCACGCTGCCTAGTTTCTACACTGCTCAGGTAACATTACCCCTGCCATCTGTTTCCCAAAATGTACAGATGGATCTTCAGTAGCAAGGTAAAAGCCAAGGTATCTGGCTGGACTCTTGCCTAAAAGCATGGCTAGTTCTTCTTGTCAAGAGACCCGTGGAGCTATGTTATATTTAGGATTGTCTAAGACACCTGCAATTCACTCAGCTCTCTAAACAGCCATTATCTTAAACTTGCATTATGCAGATTGCAAAGACACTTAGGACTGAATTAGTCTTTTCACAAAATGTCTTTTTTGATATACATGATGATATTTTGCTGCCACAAATATTGCACCGAGAAGGGACCGCACTGCTGGGTCAGCTTGCTGAGGGCACCAATGCACTTAGTGTGCTCTAAATCCACTATGGCAAATACTTCCTTCAGCATAAGAACTAGGAAAGAGCTTAATTTTCTCACAGAGTATTTCTTCCTTTTTGATAACAAGAACTATATAATCCAATCTCCCATGTTTCCTTGTTTGTCTTGGCTTCAAGATCCTCAGAAAGAAATTTCACCTCAAATAACAGTAATGTTATTTAGTCTTATAGTTGGAAAATTTGAATTATCTTGCCTTTTGCCCCCAAGTTTTCCTTTCTATTTTTACATTTTATTATGTATTATATTTGAAGACTGGATGCTAGAGATGAAAAGCCTGTTTTGAACCTGCATGACTACAATCGTATCTAAAGAAATCTGCCAGAAATGCACGAATTGGCAGCTCTGCATCACGTGATCATGTGACACTAGCAGGAGGCTGGCATCTGTCTGTGAGGCAGCCACCGTCCACTGTGCGGCCTAGAGTCAGAGCTCTGCTCACTGACGGCGCTCTGCTGGACCAATGGCTGACTGGGAAGCCCTCTGACCTCATCCTCTGAAGACTGACTGCACAAAACAGACATGTAATGTCACCTTGTGGCCGTGCCATTGACCTGGACAAAGAAGATGAGCTGGTCAGAGGGAAGGGCTGCCAGAGCTGCTGTCCAGCTGGCAGAGTGGTAATTACCCTGCATAAGCAGGCGGTTTCCTGAGGACTGTGTTTATACACAGTAAGTTCCCTTAGCAGAGTAAACTGAAGGTGTCTTTCCCTTGATAAGAAAATTAGGGACCATTCAAATTTTCTATCCTCTTCTAAGAAGAGGATATGTATATATACACATGCAGCACAGTGATTTATTTTAGAGAAATGTAAGAAAGGGTAAGTATAAAACAAAAGTCTTGAGAAAGAATTACAGTTCTGAAAATTTCAATATCTGATTAATAATAAAAGGTTTGTTTTCTATAAATAGTTCACTAATAAAGTTTGCAGCTCAACTATAATGAGTTAAAAAAAAACCTCGTGTCACGTTTCAAAATATCTTCATTTGAGGTTGTGACATGAAGACTATTTTTTTTGGCAGTACTTGTGATTGAATCTGGGGTTCACATGTTAGGCAAGGCTCACCACTGAGCTGCATCACCAGTCCCTTATTATTTTTTTTGAAGTTCTTTATTTCTGTCTCCCTGCCCGCCCCATTTTGAGACAGGGTCTTGCTTGTAGTTTAGGTTGGCCTTGAACTTACTATGTAGCCTACACTGGCCTCAAACTTGTAGTGACCCTCCTGCCTTAGCCTCCCGAGTGCTGGGATTACAGATGTGTGCCACTTTGCCTGGCTCCTTTATTTTACTTCGAGATAGGATCTCACTAAGTTGCCCAGGCTAGCCTGAAACTTGCAATCCTCCTGCCTCAGCCTCTTGAGTAATTGTTATTAGAGCTGTTCAACAGGCTTTGTTGGGTTTTAATAGTCATGGGAGGAAAATTAGAAGTGAATAGGAAGAGGAATAAAATGTTTTCAGCATATTAAGAATTAAAAAGATATTCTTTTACTTAATTAAAAAAAACGCTATGGTGACTTCGAGCCAGCTGACTTTTTTCACTTTATCCCCTTATAATCAGGTTGGATTTTCAGCTCCTGTCCCCTTTTGACATCGGGTACACTGGTTATGTTTTAATAATGTGGCTAAAAGGATACTGCACACATCCAAGCTGTTCTCTCTGGCATCGGATAACTGGATTCCGTGACTTAGGTTTCAAGAGCAGCGAGCCTCTCGATGCCTGCAGTGCTCACTGGAAATACCTACGTGTCTGAAAGAGGAGGACATGGCAGCGTAAGGGCCCACTGTTTTATTTTGCTAGACAGGGTCTTCACTCTGAGGACTTAAAGGAACCTGAGTCTTTTATGGCATAATTGAAAGAATAAAGGGTATATATCGAGGCCAATCATGTCAACAGGGCAATATACTTCAAGTCATCATTCTCCAACCCTGCAGTTAAACACCTACACTCCTTAGAGCCTGGTTCAAACTCCACACAGATCGTGTAAGCAGGGTGATAAATATTTCCATGGACAAAGCTCGCTTTTTTCCAAAACCAGACATGGCACAGCACGCCATTTTCTTTCTTCAGAGCTTTCAGGTACAATTATGTCCCGAGGATACAAAGATGGTAGCAAAGGTATGTGGCTCCAACAAGTATCTCATCAAAACCAGCAAAGCGTGTGGGTTCGGCGGGTTCGCAGGATGAAGCAATAACTCAGAGTTATGCAGCAGACATAGATGCAGTGTGACTGGTTGCTTGCTTGATTCAAGGCTACAAGAAGGGACTGGCTCTTCTCCCACCCAAGATAGATATTACACAGGACCACACAACTCTGCTACAAGATGTGGTGGTGGGTACAAGTCTAACAACCCGGGGTGCCACGTATTTTTTTCCAGGAGGTGTGTGTGCCTCTGTACCGTAAGTGTAATTTGAGAAAGGGGCCACTGTACTTTCCTAGTCTGTCTGTAACAAAGTAGTAATTGTTAACAATTGAAGAATCATCATTCTCCTCTTGGGATTCTGCCAGCTCAGCAAGAGACAGTATCAATTTTCAGATGTTATCTTTCCCTGTAACCTATTTCTTAATCCATTTCAGAAACAGGCTTCCCTGCTTTTCTTTAAGGCAAATGAAAGCCCTTGGAGTGAGTTTTTAGAGAACTCTCTCATCTCTCCCTACACTGACAGTCAGTCTGGCTTCTCCCTGACTTGCAACCAGGTTGCTCAGCTGGGCTTGATTTTTGTTTCTGAATGTAGAAACAGCTACTAAATAAAATGAAAGAGGCCTTCGGACAGGAAAGCATGAAATTTTGATGGCTGGAAGCCAGGCAATTTTCCCATGTAGAGGGATCTACATCCTTCTTGTTTGGTTGCAGCCAGGCTGAGGCTAGTATAGCATGCGGTGCTACAACATCCTCTGCTCAATAAAGCCCATAATGAAGTGCTCTGACAGTGGCTTAGAAAGAGGTGACATAAGATAATTCATATTTTTTGTTGGTCCCTGATACTGTGAGTTAAAGATATCCTTCCTACTAACGTTCGTTCTAAGAATATTCATGGTGGATACAGTATGCTGAACTCAGTTTGGCCACAGGAGGCAAGAGAAAGAGGTTTGGGACAAGGCTGGAAGTTGATGACATTCACAGCTCCCAGAGAAGGCGGTCACACTGCATGCCACACAGTTACTGGTCACAATGAAATCAGTGCTAGTCAAGAGACAAAAGGCAGGAGGTGGAGAGAAAGCTAGGCCAGAACCTTCACTGGGGCTTCCTGGGTATAGGCACGGCTGGGCCAGCAAACAGGTCCTGACTGGCCAGTTTGAGTAACTCTAGCTGGCTTTGGAATTCCAGAAGTCGTCTCTAGTTGCCTTGCCCTGGTATGATCAGGCCAGGGGGGCTCGGTGTGAGTTAGAGAAAGAGGGAGATTCCCAAGGGGGTGCAGAATTGGGATTGGTTGGTCTGCATATAAAAGACTTGCTTATGGGGAAGAGATAATATCTTCAGGAGTGAGCTGGCCCGGGATAGACTGTAAGATCTGCAAATGCCTGAGAATCAGGACCACAGAAAATAAAGTCATTTTAATGGATTGTATAGTTAGTATGACATGAATTTAAGTCACATGGACAATACCCAATGTAAGCCAACTGAACAATGTCCACACTGAAATCTGACGCGAGCTGGTGGCAGCCAGGGAGGGTCTTAGTAAGATTAGTCCCTAAGCACAGCTCGCTCAGTCCTTTGATAAGGACCACTGATGTTTCCCCAGCATCATATAACACATTATACAAACACGTTGCGAGTCCTCTGTTCTAACCTGACTGCTGCTTAAGCCCTTAATGAAAAGCTGGTCAGGACTGGCACAGCTGGTGATGATACTCGCTGACACAGTAGTCGAAGGGACCTGTGTTGGCTACACTGCATTCACAACAGAAAGCAAGCGTGTCTCTGGGTGCTGGGGCGTGACCTCTGGTGGAAACTGCCTGTCTCAATGACTTTTTCTGGTTGCTGAGACAAAATACCCTATACCACAGATTAAGGGAAGAAAGTTTATTTGGTTCACAGTCTCTATGGGTTTTAGTTTCTAACTGGCTGGCTCCAAGGGTGGCATGGCAGAGGGGCATCACAGAGGAAAAACAGTTTAGGCAGGAAAGCAAAGCAAGCAAGCAAAATGACAAGCTACAAGTGACAATAGCAGCTTCTTTCTGCCCCTTTTATATTCTATCTAGGCTATCTGGCTTAGGTGGGTGCCAACCCAACTAGCCTTAGTCCCAGCATCACCATTCTAGATCTAGATCCATTCTAGATCTCTGAAAAAGCCCTACCTATGACTGCATGAGGCCATAGGAGGACGTCTAGACACAAGTCACAACACTAATTCCCTGCTCCTAGAGAGGGGGCCTGTTGCCATCTGCTGTGTACCAGACTGCTGGGCTATCTCTGGGTTTCCCCCGAGTTACACTGTGCCATGGACACAGGCCCACAAGCCTCTCTAACCCACAATGCACTCTGTGTCCACCTGGCCTGTTGCCTCCACGCTGCAGGTGATCACGAAGCCCTCAGCCAGCCCTACTTACACACAGCATGGGCTCGGTGGGCTGGGTTAACCAGAGAGATTTGAAAACGGCAAGATCGGCCCTTTCCCAAAGTTTCTTTGGTAATGATTGAGGCGAGCCATAAAGGAGACGTTTGGGGCAAGTGATGTTAAAATTGTGGCAGACTTGCAGTCCTGGGAATGGACGGACACGAGCACTGCTTGGCAGGCCATCAGTTTGGTTTGGAGCCGGATGTCACATTCATTCTTCTGGCTGCCAGTCTCCTGAAGTAAATACCGACCTTCTCACTGTGTTTAGCTTTCTTCATTTTGTGAGTTGTTCCTCACTGGGCTGGCTGCTTGGTATCAGCCCTGAAGGACGACTGTCTGTGTCCCTATAGAATGCTGGTTGTTTTCAGCTCTCTGGTAGCGTTTGGTAGATGATCCAGCCATGGATTTGGTGTTCCTCTCTCTCTTCTCATTCCTTTCTGGAAAGAGCTTAGAAGGGCTGGGGAAAGATTTTTGAAGTTTTCTGATCCAATATAAATGAACCCTGTGGTGGGTAAATAATTTTCTTCCCTCCTTTGCTCTCCTGGGGTATTTTAATGAATAATATTTCTCAAATAAGTTTATAAGTATTCCCCAGAGGTAAGAAGAATATTAAGTTCGTAGCAGGTGTGCCATTAATGTTTTCTTTGTGTAGGAGAGAGCAAAGAGGGAAGGATTTACAGTCTTGATGTTTCACAGAATTTTCTGGTAAGTTCTGAAGGCCACTGCTGGGTAAAAAGTACTCAGGCAGCATTAGTGAAGCACAGACACCGCGTATGAGATCGAGTCTGACACTGAATATATGAGCTTTTGTTTTGGGGAGGTGGAAGACAGGGTTTATAGTTTGTCTGGCTGCCAATGAAAAGTATACTTATTTTAAATAACTCAGAAAAAGTACAATTAATCAATCTCACCAAAAGTTTACAAAAATGTTTTGTTCTTTATCTCTCTATTACCTGAAAGTCTAGTTCACAAACTACCTGACTAAAATCCTCCTCTGATAATAAATTCTTTAGAGACTATGGCAACTTCATCTTTAAAATATTTCCCCATATATTCTTTCATTTTACCTGTAATAATTCAATTAGTATAGCTTTAGTTTCTTTTATTTGTCTCAAAGACACCATATTTTAAAACAAAAGCCTCAGATAATTGGAAAGAAATTTATTACTGCCACAGCACCACCTACTGGTAGGCTAACGCAGGAGCAAGCTTTTTGCTGCTAAACTTGGACCAGGGGTTTTGAATCTCTAAGCTTTAAATCACAACTTCATTGTCTTTTTTTTTTTTCCAATTAGAGGTGCTGGGGATCAAGCAAAGACTCTCATGCTAAGCATGGGCTCTGCTACTGAGTTACATCATCTTCCTCCGCTGTCATTCTGATAAACTCTTATTTTCTCTTCATAGCTACACTAAGTCTCTTACTGTGGCATAAAGTCAGAAAGTGATGATAATGAAAATGTGCTCTTATTTTGTTACCTTAAATTGGCCCTTACTTCATCGACTTTGATTTTCTCTGTTCTATAATTGTAGCAAGGGCTCCAGATTGTGTGGGTAAGGGTTTGGATCTGGCGAAAATAACTTGGGGAACTTCCAAAGATCCTAAAAAAATGGAAAAAAATATGCCTACTTCAGACTACATTGACCTTGGCCCAAAGGACAAGAAATAAAATTCAAAACTAGGAAAGGAACTGTCATTCTCACAGGTGCCATCCTCCCACCCAGCTTCCTGCCAAACACCAAAGCTATGGTCTCTTTTGCTTTCTGACAGCTTAGAAGAGTGGGCTGGGTCATCAGCAAGAAGTCTTCCTGTCCTGGCCCTGGGGAGAGAAGATTCTGAGGAACAGTAAAGGGCCTACAACACTATAGCAAACACCTCGAGAGCTCTGCTCATTTTTATTTCCAATCTCTCATCTGCAGAGTGGGTGACCCACTGGCTTCACCAGCTGTATTCCATACACTGAAACAAATCAGAATCTGATGATGAAAATTGGTCATCTCACTGAGGGCTGCCAGGCAAATAATTTATTTGAAAGGTAAAATGGCTCCTATGTCCGTAGGATCTAAGCTCTGCTGGGTTTATTTTATATCGCTTCTGCTGCTGCAGAGACACAGTGACATGGGCAGGTACAGTCACCCCGATGAGCTGCTGCCCTGTCACCCACAGTGCACAACCATAACGCATGTCACTGGGGCCTAAAACACACGTTCACCACGAACGCTGCTGCTTATTTCTGGTAAATGGACTCTGTCACTGATGGTCAAGAAGAAGGGCAGCTCTCCCCTCCAACTACTGACCAACACGAGAGCTTAAGAAGCAGGGTGCGGGGGAGGCAGGAAGAAGCTACACTCAGGGTGGGCAGGGTGTAGGCAGGAGCTAGGGGCAGGGACAGGGCAGCTGTGTGGCCTCGGTCCCCCAGTACTGGCAGTTGACATTATCCAACCAGCACGTGAGAAGTGTCAGTTATCTAATCTGCTGCTCTCTGCTATTTTAGTTCACCTCAGAACTCAAGCAGAACGAACGCTATGGTTATACAGAGGGAAAGCCAATGTCTTTGGCTTTGGGCCAATGGCCCTCGCTCCAGCTTTCTTCTCCAATTTCCAAATTTGCTGACTCTCCCCTTTCTCTTCCATAGCAAACGTAGAATACACAGCCCAAGGCAGAGAAGCCCAGAAAAGCATTTCCAGAGCGTTCCAGGCACTCCCTACTAAGGGCTTCCACATTCACTACCTCATTTAATGCTTACAATAGAAAGAATTAGCCCAGCACCAGTAGGGAAGAAGTCTGCATTAGGACAAACCACCACCTTAGAATCAGACTGTCTGGGGAACAGAGCTGTGCATGTTACTGGCCAGGTGCAGGAGAAGGCTTAAAGGAAACAGACACTGACTGCCTTTGAGGGCTCCTTGTTAACCAACCGAGGTATAACTGGTAAGACAGGGACTAAGTATCTTTCAGAGATAGTTCATGGATGGTTCTAGATATAGACCAAAGTCCCAAGGAGAAGCATAAACTTCCTGGCTTTGCATGGGGGTTGTTCTCCCTTCCAGGTTTTAACAAAAATGTCGCACTGGTAACCTAGCCCTCTCCTTTCCCTAAGGCACTCTTTGGAACTTCTAGAATAACTGTTTTAAATCTAACTGAACTATAGAAAACACAAGGTCTGTAGATGAAATGATATGCTAAGAAATTACTAGTTGTATAAATAACTGTAACAAAGTTAGTCACTAATGCTGCACAGGAAATTTATCGTAAAGTACAGGAATGCCTGGCTGTTGCTATATCATCTCCATTGGTCTTTCTTGTTTTTATTTTTTTTAGACAGGGTCTCACTCTGTTGTTCAGGCTGGCCTTGAACTTCTGGCAATCTCCCTGCCTTGGCCTCCCTGCCCTGGCTGGAACTAGAGGCATGTGCTACTATGTCTAGCCCATTGGTGTTTCTTTGACCAAGCATCTGAAACACCAGGAGACTCGGAGCAGAACAAATTCAAAGGTATTTAGAGGCCAGTCACTAGATGACAAAGCAGTAAATAACAAGCTTCCTAAGCCCAGTAAGAATAATTTGCTTGTTACCTTACTGTGGAAGTAGGAGGCAAAGGTCAGTTCTAAAAGCCAGGGTGACGCCTAAGTTCTCTTTATTCTGCAATTTTATGCTGATGCTGAATTCAGTCTGATTATGATAAAATTTCCCAAACTATGTCACTAAAACTCAGTAGGCATCCATCTACAGTCAAGATGCCACATGTATGACCCACCCACCCTTCACATTTCTGACTTCCTCAGCCAGAGTTCCCAGAAAATTCAGTCCAGTATGCACAAATGCGGCAGCCAGGGCTTCCTGGAGCTTCGAGGCTTTGTAAACTCCTCCAGCTTAAGCAAACTTTGAGCATCAAAGGGCTCTAAATACTCTGTCTCCTTCAAAGACCCCCAGGATCCTCATGGCCATTACTTCTTTTCTATCACAGTTCCAAGGAAATTTTACCTCTTAAAAATAACTGCCACGTTCTAAAGGCTGGGAATGTAGTTCAGCGGCTGAGCACTTGCCTAGCGCATGCGAGGACCTGGGTTCCCTCCCCTGCATTGCAAAAATAGTGACAAAAAATCCACTGCTACATTCTAGTAATTCGTTTTTGAGGGGAGGGGCATGCGTATATTATCCATCAAATATCCCTTTGATTCAGGGTTCTAAAATTCAGACAGCACATTTTACACTTTTATCAGAATATTAGTATTGCCTGACTTAGTATAGGTCCAGAACCCTTCTGTATATAACACTTTATGTAATCCTCATAATAAGCCTGTAAGACGTGTATAATTATCCTCATGACATAGCTAAGCCACTGGGCTTCAAGGGATCTTGTTACCATTTTAAGGTGCGTTACATTAATACCTGTCTACACTCCCCCCATGCCGGAACTCCTTGAGTTACACGTGTGGCTCATAAACTGGCTCCGCTATTTTGTCCCCAGCCATGCTAAGCAGGGGGCTCGCAGAATACAGGACATTTTCATGGACCCTGCAAGCACTGTGACCTCCTCCTGGAACTCCTTCCCTCTCCCGACGGACTAGTCCTCATCCCTCTCAGCAGCACAGCCTCTTCTTCTAGGAAATTCTCCAAGCCCAAAGACCTGAGCTTACACCTTGGGGACAAATGCTGCCTGGTCATGTACTAGCTGTAAGGCACGGGACACATTTCAAGATCCTCCATCTTAAAGAGGAACACAGCTTTTACATTAAAGCCTGTTCAGTGAACAAATGAGTTATTACACATAAAGCATTTAGAACTTGAGGCTAATACAGCAGACGCTCAGTCATCTCACCTGCCTTTGTTCTGCGTGCCCCCAGTTCCCAAAGTACCCCCGGCCTTACCTGGAGCACACTCCCTGCTGCTTCCATGTCCTTCCCTCCTTGCCTCCTTCCCTTCTCCTCCTCCCTCTTTTCTTCTTTCGGTTTAGTACTATCGGGGATTAAGTGATGGCCTTCTGACTGAATTACAGCCCCGGTCCTCTCCCCTGCATGGTGCTCTCTCCATAGCAGGTGCTCAGTAATCATTATTTGTTGAATTGAATCAAATGATGACTGAGTGTATGTTTATAAACTGCCATGCACAGAAAACGATCCCTGGCCCACTGTTGCCTAACGCATGTATAAACAGAGCCTGTCCAGCAACTGTGACATTAGCGTGACCTGACTTGGTCAAAGAAAAGACTACTTGCATCCACTTGCAGCCCCCAGAAGCTGCTCAGTTTCAGAGCCTCAGTTTTCTCGTGTGAGGAAGATGAGAAGATCAACTTCCTAGGTGCTGTTGTGAGGACCCAGTGGGTGGAAATACTACAGAAACGGTAAAGCACCAGTCAAATACAGAGCATTTTCACTAAATGCTGCATATTTAGTAGCATTTACCAAATGGAGGAAGTTTCCAAACTAGCCCCCAGAAAATGCCTGTCCTAGGCTGACACATTACTTTAAAGAAGAATGGAACAAAAACGCCCATCTGCTGAGCTTTAAGTCTGGGCTCTTTCACCCAGAGCCCTGGTCAGAGGCCAAGCTGCCCCCTCCCTTCCTGCTGTCCCCAGGAGGAGGCCAGGACACCACTCACCTGTGGAGCTGGGCACCGGCACAAAGGCTGAGGAGTTAAGGCTGCTCTGGAGCTCGTTCAGCTGCCCTTCTGTGCAGGAACCTCTGAAACACAAAGGTGTGTGTGTCAGACCTGCAGCCAGGACAGGTCGGGTACAGACCTTCATGGCCTTCTCTCCTGCTCTCGGTCTGCCCTCTCATGTAGCTCATTCCCTGTTCTTTCAACACTTTGTTCAAATGACCAATGAGTGACCAACCATTCGCCTTCTTCTGAAATAGTACATATGTCAAAGCTGACTATCTACTGCCCCCCACTGGAATGGAGGTTTCAGTTCTCTGCTGTGTCTCCGGGGCCAGGTACTCAATGCTTGTTTAGTGAAGAAAGTACCTTGTATGGCTTTACTACTTCCTAACAAGACTCATTCTTTCCTTTCTCCCTCTCTCCTTTCATTCCTTCTGTATTGAGGATTGAACTCAGGTCTTTTATACTGAGCTACATCCCTGAACTCCTGCCCTTCTTTTTCACTAAGTTGCCCAGGCTGTCCTTGAACTTGGGATCCACTTGCTTCAGCCTTCTAGAATGCTGGGATTACTGGCCTGCGCTACCATGCCTGCTAGAAGACATATTTTAAAAAACCAAGTTTCATGTAGAGAAGTGGTTCCCCACTGGGGAAGGGAGGAGGGACAGATTTTGTCACACCTCCTCCCTGCCATGGGCATTTGGCAGTGTCAAGACAACTGTGGGTGCTCCTGGGTAGGTGCCAGGGATGTTGCTAAGCATTGGACAGTCCGCCCAAACAAAGAATTAACTAGTATAAAGTGCTAAGGCTGAGAAATTGTTTTATTGCACCTCCCCTCGTGCCAACTTTGATGGGAGGCAGGGCAAAGCATATGTTTCCCAAATTCTGCAAATGGTTTGATGCCCTACAGACTGTGTCAAGTCTTTCTACTCTTTCAGGTCTCTGTTATCCTTTCACTGCATTTATCAAAATGGTAACTATAATACTGTATATGTGGTTGCTTCAGATCTGTCATCCTTGCTAGAATCTAAGCTTCACAAAGACAGAAATTGTTAACAGTCTTATTCATCATTGTATCCACAGCTCTCCAATACTGCACACATCAGATTTTGGTATTTATTGAAGGAACTGGATCCAGTGAACCCATAAACACATTTCCCTGTTGAGTTCTGTTGTGGCTTGTGTTTGGATGTCCCCCCAAAGCTTTATGCAATCATGGGTGGGGCTTTTTAGAGGTGGCTGAATCTTAAGTATGTGACTGATTCATACTGCAATTCTGGGATTAAGGGTGCTAGGATTAGGAGTTGGGTGATTACTAAATCAGCCCACTGATTGGTTTGGCACCACCCTAACCCAGTGGCCTGGATTCAATACAAAAGAGAGAAAGAGGTTTGTCTCTCTTCTTACTTGCCATAAACTCTTTCTCCTCTGCCACCCTGACTAGAAGCCAGCTAATTATGGACTGAAACCTCTATAAACTGTGAGCTAAATGAACCTTTCCCCTTGTCTCAGTAATGAGAAAAGTAACTAAGACAAGCTCATCAATTTGATTTTAGTTGACTTGTGAAAGTTAACTTGAGAGATTAAAACTTTCACATGTTCATTTCTTTGTTTTTGAGCAACATCCAACCCAATCGTTAGTATACCTCTTCCAATATGATTTTTCCACTCATTCTCTCACATAAAAATATGAAGCAGTCTTTGTATTTTTTTGGTACTGGCATCAAGGGGTAGACATTAAAGCAAATGAATATGGCACAAACCATGATAAATGCTCAGAGCAAAAGCACAGAGGTTAGGAGAGAATAAATGAGTGAAGTCTGGTTTTGATGGTGAAAAGTAGTCATGGATGGTCTTTCCACAATCATTTCAGTCACATCATGAGAAGGGAGCAAGAAAGAACACGTCAGGAAGAACATGCACATGCAACAGTTCTGGGCTCAGAAGGGGCTTAGAATGTTCTGGAAACCTTTGAAGACCAGCAAAGGGGCAGCCAGCGGTGGGACAGTCAGACAGCATTTGCCAGATTTCCTCAACAGAATCACCCTGATAATCAGTTTTCTACACTTTTCCTATGGGGATACTGATTCAGTGGGTCTGGCATAGGGTCTAAAAATGCAGGGTTTTTACAGCAGCCTAGAGGTGAGTCTCCTCAGCAGAGAAGATGTGGAGGCAGTACTCAGTAAAGAGGAGGTGGTAAGAGGTGCGTTTGGAGAGGCAAGTCAAGTTTTGGGTGCCCCCGTGGTCCCTACAGCCGTCAGAGAGACCTGGCCCTGTAGGACACTGCTGTCCTTGAAGTGAAGGATGCTAAACTGTCATCCGATGGCCCTTGCCCTCTGCCCCTCTACCCTCCACCAGCTAGAAGACAAAGGATCTGCAGAGACAGGAAAAGATACAGGAGCAGAAGAACGTTCTTCATGTTTTCCACAATCCTTACCTTGGTTGGCTACATCCGAAAAGCTAGGGACTCAATAAACCCAGCCAAAGTACCTGCTGATTGATATGTGCTTTTTGGGTCCCAGTGAGAAAGGAAAGTTCTGGAAGGCCTAAGAGGAGCTCTTTCCTTCATAGAGGCTGAAACCTGTGGGCTCACTGTGTTACTTCAGAAGCAGCTGGGTAGGGAAAAGCCATAGGCTTGGTCTCAATTTTATTGAAAGCCCTGGATATGTGAGTAGGCAGGCAAAGAGACACTGGGGGTCAGGCCCAGTGAGTCCTGGAGCCTCAGCTCTCTGGCCTTCTTTCTCTCCTCTCCTCCAGTTCTACTCCCTCCTCCCATGGGCTACCCACACAGCCTCGGGAGCCAGTGCAGAGTCAGAAGTGGAATCACACGATGCTCCTGTTCTAGCACAGGTTTCCGCTCCCTCTTTGATAGAGAAATGTGTGCACAGCAATCAGAGGGGAAATCCCTGGGTGAACTTTTCTACGGCAATAGTGGCGAGCAGCACAGGTTTAGGCACAAAACTGGTCAATATGCTTTTGTTGTGACAACATCATTTCCTTGGCAAAATACATCTCAACTTATGGACAGCCCACTCCTCAAGGAGAACTTGTCTGGAGCTGGTATGCTCATTTGCACTTGGCCCTGCAATGACTCTGCTGCGTTCTATACATGGGAAGCTATGGAGACATTTCCTGGGGTGTCTTTCAGTCAGGTACTGTGCTTTAACATCAGAGTAACAGGACTCCCTCCTGGGACTGCTGAGGATTAAGTGAGATGGTGAATGTAAAACACATCCTAGCGCAGTGACAGGTGTCATATTGAGAACTAAACAAACTATCGGTGATACTGTCATGTTTACTCAAGAAAATTGTTGTGTATTTCCTATAAGCCTATTTACATACAGAAATATCTAACTGGATGACTCACTGACTCCAGCATCAGTATGGAATATTAGTGCTAAACTGTAAAAGAATGGTCACATTCAGAAGCTGGAAAGTAGCAATTTTCTATTAACATTAAAAGGTAATTAGCTGGCAACCCATAAGGCAGAAAGCTCAAAGTCAAAATTGCTTTTGATCCCTTAGGAAGAGAAAGGTTTCACTGGAGGCTGACAAACTATTTCTTAATAAATGTATCTTTCCTGCAGAGTCAAAATGAATCACTATTCAACCGGGTATCAAATGAAGCAGGTGTCTTTTCTCAGGGGATGTGTTGTACAAACTGTGCACTTTTGCCCATGAGAGCAACGGTATGATGGGACGCTCTTCCAGTAAGACAGGCCCGTGGGAACTGTGACTGCCTGAAGAAACACTATCTCCCATCTTTTTTTTTTTTTTTTTTCTGTCTTTTTATCGGTACCAGGGATCGAACTCACGACTGCCTGCTTGCAAGGCAGACGCTTATGCCATTAAGCTAAATCCCCAGCCCACTATCTCCCATCTTAATCTTCATGAAACATCAAGTGTATCAGCCATGTTATGAAATTAACACTGTCCTCTCAACAGTTTTGTGTGTACGGATAAATGAGGATTTGATGCATGACATTTTCCAATCACTGTACCTGTAGAGTATGAAGGGACTAAAGATGAGCGTAAGAAAAACTAGAATTATTACATTATCAAAAGCTTTATAGGAGAAATAATGAAAAGCCTAGGCCACAAAGGGGTCATTAACTTGAAATTACACACAAGCTAAAGAGTCCAAGGTCAAGAAGAGTGGTTGCCGTGTCTGGCCCTGACTTGGGCTTGCTGGAAATGGTGTGGGCACCCTGGAGGTGGAAAGCGTCACAAGGTCAAAGGTTGACAGTTAGATGCTTGCTACACCTGAATGGTAACTGCCCTCATGTAGGACCCTGTCTGTCCATGATTTTTAAAAATTGCTTAAAGACAGGCTGCCGGATAATCTTAGCCACTTAAAAGCTATAATAAGAAATGTGGCCAGGTGTAGTAGCAACAAAGAATTAAAAGAATTCCATTAATTATATACTCCTTCCAATTAAGGCCACAGTTCCTCCAAGGACTTGTTTGCAGCTAGCATCCACAGAGTAAGTGTTAAATGTGTATTTTCTAGCCCTGAATTTGATTCACTAGTTCCACACCTGTTGCCTCTTCCATTTTTCTCAGGTCTAAGAAGCAACTTGATGTGCCCATTATTTCTATTTCGATTATTTCTATTAGGAGGGAACAGTTCTTCTGGGGGTTCAATGATATATTTCAAATAATATCCCTATAACATGAACTATTTCCTGCAGTAATCATTTTGACAGATTTCTCCTAGTGCAAGTCTCTATTTGGGGAAAATAAGCCAATCAAATGGCTGGCTAGGACGTCCGCTGGCATCAAGGCCACAGCACACAGCCAGCCGAGGTGACATATCATCTCCAGTCAACAGAGTCTGACAAGCAATAGCCCCATTATCCATAAAGCTTCTGATGTGCTTTTTCTGTGGATCTTCATTTCCTCTATTTGTGGTTTCCTCTGTTCTTTCTTCTCCTCATTATTTTGATCCATGGAAACTTTTCTGAAAGTTACAGCCTCTCTTTAAGGTCTGTTTTGTTCATTACTTCACCAGGTTAACTGTAGAGTGGTGCTGTATCATTTCACTTCAGGTTCTTTCAAGGCATTCCACAGCTCTAGCCGAGGACC